GCCCGCCCGGTTCCAGTTTCTCACTATCCAGGCGTTTCTGCAAAGCGGTCGAGGGAGGGGGGGACGGTTGGTGGGAAAAGAAAAGATGGAGCAGCGGCCAAGGGTTTATAAAGCAAGCGGCGGAGTCCTGCAGCTCAGAGGCAACACGGGGGGAGGGAATCGGAGCTAACCGAGGAAGGAGGCGCTGCTGCTGCTGTTTCTGCTGCCACTGCCGCCGCCAGCCGGGGCATAATACGGTAAATAAATACGAGCGTAGGGGATCCACGTGTGAACGAAGCCCCACTCCCCCGCCTTTTGCTTTTGCTCCCGAGCCTGCGCTTTTGAAAAGGGCTTGACTCCAGCCTGGGATTCGGAGCGGGAGACGCCGCTGCTGCTGCTGCCGCCTGCGCTGCTGTGGACTTACAATATCCGAGCAAAAGACTTTGCAAAAGACCACCCTGCCAAGGGGGAAAGGCGCGCAGTTGGGCACCGTCTTCCTTCGGCGTCTCTTTAAACGGTGCTTGGATATTGTAAGTCCACAAAGAACTGGGGAAAAGAACCGGGCGGGCAGGCGAGAGAGGCGGGAAGAAAAAAAAAGGGGGGGAAATCCACACACACTCGCGCAGGGAAAGGGGGAAACGGGTGGGCTGGCCGGCTCCCCTCTCCTCTTTGTGTGTGTGTGTTTCTCTCTCTCTCTCTCTCTCTCAATTCTCCCCCACCCCAAAAGCGGGGAGGGGGCGACCTTGCAAAAGGGAGGGGGCTTCTCCCAGTTGCGGGGAAGGCTGGAGGTGCGCCTTTCTCGGCCAGCCCGGGTAAATTCGGCCATATTCTTCAGCCAATTCATGTGATGCTGCAGGTACGGCCCTCCCCACTTCCCTTCCGTTCCCTGCGGCGCTGCGTGTCGAGGCCGGGACGGAATACCCCGGGCCGCCGCAGCCAAGCGCGAGGGGGAACGCCAGATGCCTTGCGCGAAGGGGGGAGGCCTGGCGACGCTGCGCCCTACCGGGCACTCACCGGGGGGGCGAGGCGGCCAGGGAGGAACAGCCAACTGCCGGCAACCAGCCGGAACTGCTGGGGCCGGCCCGTATTGAAGAATACGGCCGAATTTACCCGGGCTGGCCGAGAAAGGCGCACCTCCAGCCTTCCGCGCAACCGGGAGAAGCCCCCTCCCTTTTGCAAGGTCGCCCCCTCCCCGCTTTTGAGGTGGGGGAGAATTGAGAGAGAGAGACAAACACACACACACACAAAGAGGAGAGGGGAGCCGGCCGGCCCACCCGTTTCCCCCTTTCCCTGCGCGAGCGTGTGTGGATTTCCCCCCCTTTTTTTTTCTGCCTGCCTCTCTCGCCCACCCGCCCGGTTCCAGCTTCTCACTATCCAAGAATACCCTTCCAGCTGACGTGGGCCGTGTTATCAACTATTGCTCCTTTGTGCAAAGTGCTACAATCGCGCGGTTACCAGAGGGGTGGGGTTGCAAAGAGGCCGATTAGCCCAGGCGGAAAAATGTGTGTGCTGAAAAATGCCCCCTCGGCTTATACTCGAGTCACCATTTTTTCCCAGTTCTTTGTGGAAAAATAGGTCCCTCGGCTTATAGTCGGGTCGACTTATACTCGAGTATATACAGGTAGTTACAATGTCATTCCTTCTCTGGGCTGAGCTGCCTTTTATCTGACCATTGTCTAGTCTGCATCTCTTTCTTGCATTTCCCAAAATAATTCCAACATACCATTACAATTAGCATGCTCTGGGTTGTTTCAGTTAAAAAATGTCATCCATAAGGATAGTGTGCCTTCTCTGTAGCAGTGCTGCCCTCTCAAGTGAGATTCTGCCCATTCTGTTGTTTAGAAGGGTCATGAAGATCTGGCTTTTTACCCAGGCTTTGTAGAGGGAGAGGGAGGCCCCTTGCTTTGTTTCCATCTGGTCTGTCATTTTTGCCATTCCATTTTAACTGGGTTTATTGTAATTTTCTTGCTTTGTTTGTTGGGAGTTGTTGATTGTCCAGAATCCTTGGAAGTCAAGTAGTCTACAGGTTTGATAAACAGATCAGTCAGTCAGTCAACCAAAGCCCTGAATGGCAAAGATGGCATTAAACACCAGAACTTGCAAAGTTGTAGGAGATAATAGTATATCTGACAGTGGCTGCAGTTTGAGGGGAATTTGGAGGGAGGGGGGCTCCAGCTGAAAACTATAATATGCCAATTTTAGGGCTTTTCATGAGTTTCCAATCAAAAATGTGCTGGTCCAGGAACTGCAGGTTGCCAACTCTAGATTTAAGCAGACAAATGAATGGCCATACTTGGAAAAGTGCAGGATTGATAGCTGCAGAAAATCCAGTTGAAATACAATGGGCCAACTCTGCCACTGCCAATAGGGACTAAAGATACTGTATGTAGGAGAGGTAAAGATTACCAGGGCTGGATTCATATAACTTACTAATTCCTATAATACATCCAGGTCAATAAACACATAATACATAACATTAACCCAAAACAAATGGGTTTATCATGTCCATAGAGGACATCATCATTCAAACAGCCAGTTTATTTCTATCTAGTCTATTGTATTGTGTGAACCTAGCAATAATGAAATTACATTTTTCTGCGTTTTCTTTCTTGAAATTACATTTTCTTGCAATTTCTCATATTATTTAGGTTCATCAAAGGCAAAACATACTCTCAGTGCATAACCCAGCAGAAATATTAAAACCTACTTAGTTTAATGGGGTTTCTTCACAGGTAACTGAAGCAGTTGTGTATACACAACAACAAGAAGAAAGTGGGATGCATTCAAGTTCTATCATCCCAGGTTTCATCCAGGACTCCCTTCGACCCCCAGCTGTGCCCAGCTCTGCCACAAAGAAAAGTCTGGGGCATCACAGTGGGTGATCCAGTGGCAAGAGAGATTACAAGTGGTCCTCCTTTAGCTCATTTCTGCTAAATAACAAATATTATTAAGTGGGATTCGGAGAGCTCTTGCCACAAACAGTTAGAGGAGACCTGGCTGGGGAAGAAACATTATATCAGTCATATTTACACTGGTGACAAAAAAGTAACTTTATGAGCAGTCCTCACATTTTTGCAGACCTGTAAAGCAAAGGAAAGTTGAAGTATGATTGTAAAATTGTGACGTTTTACATAGCGAACATTTTACTTAACTGAGTTGCCAGTCTCAACTGTGGTAGCTAAACAAAGACCATCTGTAATATGCTGTTTAACATACAGTGTTCTAATGCCTATTTTGATCTTAAACAATAGCAGATTATTTTTTCCAGTTCTTGATCCAAACATTTATTGTATATAAGTCAGCAAAAGTTCACTGGAACCAAAAGCACTGCTCACAGTGACTTAACTTTCAAGTTTATCTTCTAAATTCCATTGCACAGAACATCAGAGAGAAGTTTTGGATTCCAGTAAATCTTTTCTGTTAATCAGATTCATTTTGTTTTCTTAATCCAGAACCATTTGCTTAAAGTACAGTGAAGTTCAACTTTCTCTTTTGTTTTTTTCCCCTCAGAAACAATACTCGTTATTACTATTCTATGAATATAATGAGAATATGTTTTTCCCCCTAGCCAAGTCCTCTCCAATGGTTTGTGGCAAGAGTTCCTTGAATCCTATTTTATAATATTGGGTGGGTTTCTGGGAGCTTCCAGACATCTGCAGAAGACCTGATTAGAAAAGGCTGAAAGGGTGCATTGTACTTATTGATATTTTTTGTGTTTAATATCAAGAGCATTTTGAACATAAAAACTTAGATCCTTCAGAGGCCAATGGTTTTCTTTACTTGTACTGGGTGATATTGAAGCCTCTTCCACCAAAACCACTTGGAAGTGAAAAGACCCTCACCATTTAGTAAAACAAGCAGTGAGCAGCCAGGAAAGTTGGTGAGAGTCTCTAGAATTGCAAAAACAGCTGGGTGGTATTGAACCTCACCAAAGGAGACCTGCTAGTCACACCAAAGGTGATTTCCAGAGAGTGCTCTCCAGATGATTCAGACCAGACCCATCTGGTCAGGCCAGGCCTGGGAAAGCTTTTCCAATGGTGCAAAGGTCTCCCATTTCTTCCTGTCAAATCATCCTGTGAAGAAGCAGCCCCTCGGGACACTTGGGGGTCACGTCTGCACAATCTTCCATGCCAGGCCTGGAGAATGAACCTGTCCCACTGCCCTCCCTCCCAAAGGAACCGGAGCGAAGGGAGGTTCCTTTTACGTTTGAAGCACAACCAGCAAGCGATCTCGAAATGCCAAGCAAAATTGGAGCGGGGGTGGAGGGGGAGAGAGAAAGAGAGCACCCTCCCCGGAGTCGCTGACAGTCAACTGTCTTCAACTTCAAACTCCTTTCCAAACTAATCAGAGCAGATGATGCCTGAGACAAAGCGCACCTGCTCGTCCCGCCTTGCATCTGAAACCGCGAAGTGCCGAGGTGATATTTGGGACAGCGGGCGGGATGATTTCAGTGTCCCGAAACTTTCCGTCCTGAATTTTCCGACATAACGCCCTGTCAGCTAAGAACTTCCCAGCCCTCTCCGAGTTGGCGGCCATTACGGCCCACGACCAACTCTGCTAGAAACGCGTCTGGAACGCCTGGATACAGGACCGCCGCAGCTCCAGGCAAATCTGGATCGGGCTAGCGAGGAAAAGGGGAACATTAGGGCGGAATTGCTTAATCCCACTGGTATGTCGGTCCCTGAAGAAATCCTGGCGGCACCAAAGAGGTCAGAATAGGTTTACCTTGCAAACTGCAAGGCGAAGACGGAGTCAAACGGGCGGTATTGTGGGGCTAGGCGTTGATCCAGGAGTTCACTTCGAAAACAATTTCCCTGGGTAACTTATGAAAAGGAATCTAGGTTTTATCCTTGGAGCGTGGCTATTCAATCGTGGCTAGGATAATAATCGTGCCTGCCGTTTTGAGGGAGGCGAATGGGCAGGGGAGAACTTTTCTTAAGTTATTCCGCGGAGCGCAGTGGGCTGGACGTGTGGCTTCCGAGATGGGGGCCACAGAACAGTGTGGCTCGCTGGCTCTTATTTATTGAATGACATTTTTGAAACCATCGTATAAACATATAGACGCGCGCCTGAAATCGTCTGGCGTCGAGTCAATTTCAGGTTAAGTAGGCGGCGGGTCGAAAACCTCTGCCTGAGTCTAGATTTCTTTCGGGAGACCCGCCGGCAGAGGAGAGTTTGCCCGAAGGGAAACCGAGCAGAAAGAAACGCGCGTTTTTGATATGCTTATTGCGAATGGCTCCCAACCTGCCCCAGGCCTGGCTAGCCGGCTGACCCAAAGCAGCAGGTAGCGGGGGCTGACCCAAGAGGCGGTAGAAGAAAACCTCGACCTAAGTACTGGAAAAGTAGAACCGCGAAGATTTGATCCTGAGAGCGGGTAGGTCCAGCGGAGCGACGTCATCGCGGTCGCTTTCGGTCCCTCTTCTGTAAGGTAGGAAAATGAGGTCGGGGGACGCCCACCGCCGAGCGTCGCCCCCCCCTCCCCTCGGCCGGGAGTGGCACTGCTCCTCCCGTTTACCGAGTTTGCGGACCAAGGACCACCCCTTCCTGCCCTGACATCTGACCCCGTTTCCTCGGCGCCGCGGAAAAGCCCCCGCTGACCCCCGGCGTTACCTGAGCACTCCAAGGCAGGGGCTGGGGCTGGGGCTGGGATGCCTCTCACTCGTCCCCGGGGAAAGCACCCGCTGTCCTTCGACGGAGGAACCCGCCCAGAGGACAAGAAGCACAGCAGAGGCGGCCAGAGCCGCCGGTGCCTGGTCCGGCGCTAGGCAGACGCAAGGATGGGGCTCTAGCCGCCTTCGGCGAGCCCGCGGTCCTCGCGGTGGGCTTGGGCTCTCAGCCCCTCCCGGCGCACGGCGCGATGCTGAGTCCCTTCTGCGCCGCCGATCAAGACCGCGGTTGTTTGGGATTCTACGCGGTAGGGCCACTCCTGCTGGCAGGTAAGCGCCAGAGGCTCCAGCTCGGATGCCCGCAGGAGGCAAGAAGAGCCTGGAGTAGGGTCCGCTGTGCTGCTGGTGGGGAGGTTTGCGGGGAAAGCGCTTATGGGATTCCTTGCTTTACCGACTGACCTCTTCTCTTCCCCGCAAGCGGAATTGGAGCGCTTTTCTTCGCCCTCTCTCTGGCCAGGCTGGGCGGCCTGAAAATGGAGGAAACTCTGCAGGACTCCCTGGAGCCCCCGCCCCCGCCGCCCTCCTTCTCTGCCCCGCTGCTGGGTAAGTAGTAGGGTCGGACCTCGGCCAGCTTTGGGATGAGTCTCTGAGCCTGGCCGGCCCCGACGGTTGAGGGTCCCCTTCTCCTTTGTAGAGTCAGAGGGCAGTTGCCCTCCTCAACAAAGAAGTCCCCCGAAGAAGGAGGGAAGACGCCGGCGAAAAAGCCGACAGATGCGATCGTGGAACAGGATTATATTATCCGGTTTTGCCTCAAAAATCATCCCCAGGAAAACAAAGGAGGGGGGGGGAGGAGGAAAGGAGAGAAAGAGAAATTGGGTCTCTCTCGCGCGCGTGTGAAAGAGGCGGACAGCTGCTCCCTAGCAGTTTTAAAACAAAAGTTCAAGATTTACCTGGCACTGAAGTCAGACTTCATATGATTGAATAGCATTTGTTCATCCCAACAGATAAGAAAATACAATATAATAATTAGTAGATACTTAATGTGTGTGCGTGCATGTACCTACATGTACAAATCGTTCTAATTAATATCGTTAATTAACGATTAAACTAACGCAGGATGTATGAAAGACAATTATAATAGCTGAAATCAAATCTCAGCAATTAAATTAAGCATAAAAGGGGTAGGATTTGACAGATACTAATCATAATTATTGTAGCTAAGTAAGTAAGCCCCCATTTCTCCAAATTGGTTTTAGAGCAGGTTTAGGAGGCAGGCTTGAAAAGGATGGTCCAGAGCCTCGGTGTCGTCGTTTTCCTGTGGATGCACTTTGGAAGGCTCTTCCGAAGGTGCACAGAGGATTCGCGCCTTATAAGGAGGGCGATTTTACAAGGCACAATAAGTCAAAAAGCGGGCAACGATAGTGCGCCTCTCTAACAAGTTTTTAGTGGATAATAACAAATTGCGTTAGAACGGGTCCAGTTTTCTTTTTAATTCCTCCTTTTTACTGCTTAATTTTTTTATTTTATTCTCCACTCCAAAATAAAAGGAAAAATAAAAGATAGTTCGGGGGGGGGGGGGAACGCTTCTAAATTGTTCATTTGAAAGCAGTCGTTTTTCCCTAAATCAAAATTGACATTTTTGAGTCTTTGAGTAGAAAAGCAGGGTATAACTATTTTGAATAGATAATTATTTCACAATGGTCACAAAGATACTTTTCAGACGAAGAGAGAGAGAAAACCATTCGTTCTTCCGTTTGTGCTTCAAATGGCTACCAACCCTGGCCCTGGCTAATGCTGAGTCCTGCCTTCGGTCTTCAAGCGCCAGAGCCTCTATTTAACGCCGCACCCCCAACAATAACAGTATCTCCGTCCAGCGCACCTAATCGGTCATCATCTGAAATGCAAACAGTTAACAAAACAACCAAAAAGCTAGTTTTGTGACATCAACAGGAGAAAAATTGCACCGATGCCAGAGTTTTACACCATTAATTAAAATAAAAAATTGCACCTCTAAAATAAAAACAACAAAAAATCAGAATTGAAAGGGAGAGAGGAGTGCATTTCAATTTCTAGAGAAAACAACCAGCGCAGGAGAAGCACGGAAACCATTTCAATATCTTATGTTATAGTCTTGAGGGGCAGTTTCACATTTCTTCCCAGAAAGAAGAGTTCGGAGATTAGTTTAAAATTAGGGTAGATGGGCGGTCACGGTGTGGAAGCGGGCCCCAGGGAAGGCGCTCCGGCTAACTGGAGGCAGGAAAAGAAGACAGGTCGCCCAGCATCAGTTTCAGATCTACATAGTGGGTGCTAGGATTTCCGTGCAGTTAAAGAACCTAGGCTGGCAGCTGGCTGAGTTCAGTGAAACTGCCGCTGATTTCAAGCGCCAGCAGCGGAACATTTGCAAGTTGCCTTTGGGGAAGACGTTCAATGGCGTTTCCTACGGGAGATACGGAACCCCCTCAGGCTTCCGCTAGAGCAGGCATGAGCACGAGATTCCTGGGGGAGTGGGTGGTTTGGAGGTATTGCTTGAAGGCCACTCTGCTGCGGCACTCGACTTGGCAGTGGCCTCGTGACTTCCCCGGGTTTGGTCCTCCAGGTCAAGCCGTCAGGCGGAGAATAGGGTGCACTTCGTCCCGCAGCTCAAAAGCAGCCACTTACAAGAAGTCATTCCTGTGGCCGTACGGCCCGGAAAGGGTGTTCCTGGTTTATAATGGCATTGAATGCAGCCACCTATGCAACGCTTTACCAAGTGACCTTAATCTAAAAGGGAGGAATGCCGAAACCCTCCTGAGCTTGAGGCAAATCAGAGCAGGAGGCCGTCGGGTTCCAAATCCCTTGGGGGGCGGGGACCCACAATCCCTCTCCACCCGCCAATAATGTTTGGGGGGAAAACGGCCTCGTAGGGAAAACAGGCCTAAGGCGGGCCTGTCGCAGCTGCAAGCGTAGGACCAATTTGCTTTATTTCGGAGGCTGGTGTTGGTTTTGAGTGTGCCTTTACTCAGGAAAACCTGAAAGGGGAGGGAAAGCCAGGCTGGCCGAATGATTGGCGATAGGACATCCACGCTGGGTATTTCCCCGGTTTCAGCAGTCCACCCTTCAAGAGAACCCAAAACGTTTAAAACGAATCGGGGACGTGCAGGGCAATATAATGGCCGAGAAACTCGTCAAAAGGGCTAACGGGACATTTCCAATCTTGGAGCGGCGGGGCGGGGCGGGGCGGGGCGCGGCGCGGCGCGGCGGGGGCTGCCGCGAGGGTCATCGTCCTTCTGGGTCTTTGCAGGGAGAGCTGCCGAGCCGCGCTCGGTGTGCGAAGGCTGCCGAGGCATTATCTCGGAGCGGTTCTTGCTGCGCCTGAACGGCCGCCTGTGGCACGAGCGGTGCGTGCGCTGCGCCTCCTGCCGAGAACCCCTGGACAGCAGCTGCTTCTACCGGGAGCAGAAGCTTTACTGCCGCCTGGACTACGAGAAGTAAGTCCGCCGTCTTCGCGGGGCTCGGTAGGAGCCCAGAGGCCATGGGACTTTTCCTCTCTTCTGAAGCCGAGGAAGGAGCCCAGTGGAGCTTCTCCCCAGGCGAAGCTAGAGCTCCTGAAGATCGAGCGAGGTGTACCTGGGAGCCTCCTCCTGTGTAGGGAGACCAGAGTTTCTATAGGCCCAATCCGCCACTCCCAAGACAGGGTCACCCTAGTTAGGAGCGAGGCCTGTGAAGGTGAGGTGACACTAAATAGGAAGAAGAGATTCTCCCTATTGCAGCCCGAAGCGGTACTCCCATTCAGAAAACAAACATCCCTTCCTGTCTGAGACCAGAGTTACGGTTTAATCTGGACACTATAATGAAATTCCCTAGAAAATCTCCAGACAACCCTCAGGTCCCCTTCCATCATGGCCTTAAGAGAAGTATGCAACTTCCACTTGTTGGAGTGACAACTTCTTACAATAGCTGGACTGGCTGACAACAGGGTTTTCAGAAGACTGAGCTTTAACTAACCATGTTACTCCTCCAGCCACAAATATATTTTTTCTGAGACTCTAGAACAAAATAACTTGATCTCTAAGGGGGGAAGGCCTTGTCCCTGAAATAGAAGGATGTAACCAATTCATATAGAAAGCTTTGATTTATATGGCACACAGTTGGTCACCTGTATGCATAGAAAATTTGCTTTCACTGAGTATTTTACCTAGTTTTTGATTTTCTTATAAAACAGTCCTGATACACGAAATCAAACTTTTTGAAGCAGCTCTTTAGATGTAGACAAAAATGCAAATTAGAAGGGAGCAAAAGAGGCAGCCCTTAATTTCTGCCCCTCCCCCTGCTCTTTGTAAAATTTCCTGAACACAAGAACTCACTAAAACTGTTTCCCTCAGCTTGAAACTTCAGCTTCAGAGGTCCATCTAATTCAGTAACCTAGTTCCTAGAATAGGCAGCCCATTGCTAGAAAGAAACCCATAAGGGTGAGGCACCTTTCCTTATCTATGGCTCTCCTTCAACCTCTTTCCTCTGAACTGGGTGGTTTCATCTATTTCACTTTGTTAGTAACCATTGTTACAGTCAAGATTTCCCCCCCCATGGTGTGGGAACCTGCACAGAGGGTATTATAATTCTGGCACATAATGTGCACTGCAGTGATATACAGTACCTGTGTGTCGTCAGTTGTGCTTTACTACTTAATACCATTAGAAAAGCCCAGCTGTTTTGGGCCAGAAGTCTAATTAGTCCAGCATTCTGTTCTGATGGTGAACACCATATGCCTTGCAGGAAGCCTCCTGGCAAGACATGTGGAACTTAATAGCCTACTATTATACATAGTCTTCACTGGGTTTGAAAGATTTACTACATATAATAGCAGATGTAAATAGCTAACTATTAGCTGGAACCCTTATTAGCAATATCTTCCATTGATTTGGGTATATTCCTTTCAAGGTAATCAAAATGGGTGATCCTTGCAAATCTGACTCCTTCTAGGGAGTGGTCTTATTCCTCTTTATCATGAGGGCTTAAATGTGGATAGAGGATGGGCAATGAATATAATTCCATCTGTTATTAACTCTGACCTGCTCTTGTTCAGGTGAGAAATCTGAGGAAAACTAGTTGCTAGAGTGCAATGTTTAGTAAAATGAAAAATATATGGAAAGAAAAAAAAGGTAGGGCTGCAAGCAATCAAACTATCACTAGAAGGCAGGAAAGTAATATGGAAAAAAAACCCCTAATCTTTGCTGCCCTCTTCTGGTCATTCTAATTTTTTGTAACCCAGCTTCAATTTCAGGCTATTTGGTTTCTGTTAATATTCTTTAAAAAAAAAACAAAAAACAAGTTTTATTAGTTTTCCATTTTTACAAAACTTCAGATATTTAAGGAAACAACATGGTGGTTGGGTGATACATAGTCCAATAACACGCTTATCCATACATATTACATCATCAAAAATTATTACATCATCAAAAATTTCCTCTGTTTCCCTTAGATATTATACCAAATTCAAATTAATAGATTGCTAGTTATAACTCAATCATTTAAAACATTTATAAACAACTTTTAAATTATATGTCTTCAGATCCTGTTTTTTAATTTTTGTCTGGTTTCAATTACAATATTCCAGTTGGCTTAGTGTCCAATAATGTTTAAGTTTCAGATAGCCCACGGTTCCCTTAGTTCATACAAAATAATATCACGTCTAAAATACACTTATTATTTTTTCTGTAAATTCTTAGTTTATTCACAATCATATTCTAGTTCTCATTCTAATATCATCGCTTACTCATGGAATAACTTTTATCCTGTAAATCCATCTTCTATTTATAATTCAAAACAATTATTTGAGTAACTAATTTATTTTCCCTATAGATATAATTCCTGAATATTAAATCATATAATATCTTTTAAAATCTCCTTATCTCATTACGTAAAATTTAAAGCTCTTCCATTAAGTATCACATAAAGAAAACCATCTTTTTAAGTCTAACTCTGGCCTTTCTTTTGTGCCAAACCGGCTTCCATAAAAGAGCTTTTAGATCCTCAAGTGGCTCTCCCTTCATTCCTGCACATATCATTTGAATCAGGGGAGACCAATCATCAGCCTATCAAGGAAGCCAGTCCCTTCACAATCATTAAATTGTTGGCCAAATGGTTTAAGTCTCCATAATTGAGTTAATGTATTTATCATATGTTCAGATTGGTCTTCTTCTTCTTCTGGTTTCAGCTGATGAAAAGTCATGTTCAGTGTTGTAGTTGTTTTTGGATCATCTGGATTGTCTAGAATCTCAGTGTATTGTGTATGTAAGTCCTCTGCAAGTTCCATCTTAACATTGCTTTGTTCAGTTTCGGTTGCTGTTGTATTTGTAAGGTCTTTAAGTGAGGTCAAAGTTTGAATGTCGGAGTTCTGAGTAGATTGTAACTGGCATTCTTTAAAATCCACTTTGTTGTTAGTTCCTTCTTCTTCTGTTGCTTTTTGGGGTGTAGGTTCATCTGATGAGGTTAAAGCTGCGTTTTGTAGCTTTAAAGTGGCACGTAAGTCTTCCATTCTGGAATTTATTAGCTCAGTAGCCTCTAGGATTTTTTCAAGTATAAGTTTGACATTAAGCTGTGGGTGGTGTTTCTTCATTTTTGTGATGTTTACAAATAGTCCTTTAGTGGAGGCTATTTTTGATAAAAGTCAATAACTATCCACCTTCACTGTAAAGAGATATTTTCACCGCCCAGCTGTTTCAAGTTCTTATCTTTTTGTTGCTGTCAAGGACAAATTTTAGTCTCAGGAGTCTCCTAGTCAGAAAAAATATTGTTTTTTTCACTTGCTATACCAAATTTCATCACAAGATGTCCCCAGTAACATACAAAATGGAGCTTTTATCCAGTTCAAGAGAGAGAGAAAAAAGAATATTCCCTTTTTTTTCAGCTTAGCAGAAAAGTAAAACAGTAAGTTTTTGTAGAAGTACAGAGCTTTTAGGGAGCCCAGGTAGCCAGATATTACAAGTCCAGGTATGTGGTCATTTAATCTTATTGTCCTTTTTTATTGCTTGGCTTTATATTCCTGGAGTAGGAGAAGCCGCAAAATTAAGCTTGGGGAAAAGGGTATTTCAAGGATTTTTACAGGAAAGTAGTTGGGAAAGAGAGAAGGTAAAATAAGGTCTCACCCAACTCCAGTTGCTTCGTCATGCTTAGTAGTGCTTTGGGCTTTCGGCTGGTGTGACTAAGTGAGCGGCCATGTTACTGGCGAGGGTCCTCCCCAACAGTGGTCGCCCCTCCAGGGCAACTTTTGACCCTTTCCAGGGTCTCCCGAAGAAGAAAAATCGGACGGCGGGAAGGATGATCTCTCCGCACGTCCGCTAGCGCCGCGAACCGGAACCGGAAGCCAGTTTCTGTTAATATTCTGTTATAATAGTTTGTTTTTATATGAATTTGACATAGTTTTATAAATCTACACGTTTCCATAAATATGAAATGGGCTGTATATTTATTGAACTAGTTATAAAATTACTGATTATTTTAATATATTTGCATTTTAAAATAACCTTTTATAGCAAAAGATTTAGGCTTTTTGTTTGTTTTGCTAAGGAGTTCTTTGTAACTGGCAAACTATCATATTTTTTCACCATATGATGTTGATGAAAACTTATCCTATTACTTGATTTGTACCTCTTGACCTAAGCTCATTTGCAGTGCTAGATTGTACAGAGACCTTGAACAGGTGCTAGGTAATGTAGAGAGGATTAAAAGTGCAGAGAAAGTTCAGTCATTTGAATGGATCTGTAACAGACAATCTTTTTTTTTTAATTTTAAATTTTTATTATTTAAACCAACGAAACAAAACATAACACACATACACACACAGTATATATTCCTCCCTTTTTTTAACAGCGATTTCGTAACAGTAATCTTCTATTATTTACATTTTCCCCCTTATTCTTCTTTAGAATATTTGTCCTTGTTGCCCCATTATTTCTTATTTGCATTTTTCTTCCTTCATATATTATTATACACACATTTTCCACTTTTAACCTTTCCACATTTATTCTCTCTTATTTCTACTCTCCAACCAGTCATACCACTTGTTCCAAATTAAATAGTATTCTGTGTCTTCCTTTTCTTTTATCTCTTTTGTTAATTTGTCCATCTCAACACAGTCCAGAATTTTTCTTATCATTTCTTCCTCTGATGGTATATTCTCATTTTTCCAGAACTGTGCGTATGCTATTCTTGCTGCCGTTGTTGTATGTAGAATTAAGTACCGTATTTCTTTACTATATTTTCTGTTTAAAATACCCAGCAAAAAGATCTCTGGTAACAGACAATCTTAATTGTTACTCAGGGATTTTTGCATTTTTGTTCTTCAAATTTGATATAGCAGATGCATACATTTGATAATGTGATATTTAAAGTGAAATATATATGGAAAAAAACAAAATTGGTGTGAGTTTTGTATAATTAGACAAAACCATATAATGAGTCTTAATGTCAGAATACTAGATACTAGTAT